TGGCAATTTTCTTCTCTCATGAGCAAGCTGGCTGCGACACTCCCCTGGAGTTGCAGGAACAAATTCTTGTAATTCAAGAATTGCAAGTTTAAGATGTTCAAGATTGTAGATTGAGGTGTAGATTGAGGTTCAAGATGGTAGATTGAGGTGACAGAGGAGGGCTTCTACTCACACATAGACGTGCTTGATTAAATGTTTTTAAAATATTGTTTTTAATTGATAGCTTAGAAAAATGACATCTTAATATTTTATGAATTTGATACTTTGGATAATTGAATATTGGACTTTACAAACAATAGAACAGTGCATAGAACAGTCGGGTTCATTATAGATACTCAATAAATATTTGTTGAATGAATGAATGAAATGTTAGAATAAAATCATAGCTACAACCTTTTAATTTCAGAATTGAGCAGAGGCTACTAGGATTCACATATCTGGTACTAAACTCCTATTTTTTATTTTCAACTATTGGCATTCATTTTAGAGGTAAACTCAATCATCTAAACAAAGTATCACTATTAATATCTGTCTTGCCCAAGAAATCTTGGCTTCCAAATAGCTATAGATGTGTGTGTATATAAATGAATTAGGTTCTTTTCCTCCATGGTTCTGGGTGAATTGAACAGAGATTGTATTGTGCCAAGTTTGCATTTAAAGACGGCTTGCACATTCTGGAGTTGTCATTATTAAGGATGTAGTCGGGTTTTTAATGATAGATCTATTTATAAGAGACTATAAGGACATTATTAAAAAGCAGTTAAGGGCTATTATCAACAAATGAATTCTTCCTGTTTTGCTTAAAGTGCAGAACTCAACACAAATGACAGTTTTAGTTGTAATTTAAAATTATTGTTAAATTCTAAAAGGTTTTTGATCATTCATTTCATAAGTGGCATAGTAGGTGAGTTTTGTTTGTGAAGAACTGGTCATTTGATTCTCTTCACTCTGTTTCCCTGAGCAGGTGCGGATATTCTACGAGAAGGTGCTGAATGAAGAGGAGAGGAAGCGCCTGTGTGAGAACATTGCTGGCCACCTGAAAGACGCCCAGATTTTCATCCAGAAGAAAGCGGTGAGTCTTTGTAAGCTGAAGGGCGACACCCGCTGGCTTGGGAAGTCAGTGCAGCTGTGTGGGAGAACCCCTGAAATGAAGCACCATTTTGATTTTACTTGAGCTAAGAGGACTTAAAAAAATGGTAATAATCCCCAATCAACCTCTGATTATTTTCTCTCTGTGTTTTGTCTGGTATGGCATATCTATCAGTGCTTAGCTGTTTGTTCAGTGTGTACTCATTTAGTTGAGTTCAGGGTGCATTTTATCCTATGCTGTTTAATTTGACTACAGCCAAGTTCTGTGCAAGATAGTAAATGTCTAATATCAAAACGTGGGTCCTGCCACAATTTTGCTTAAACTTTGGATGATACGAAATATATCAGCTGAGTGCAGTGGCATGTGCACCTGGAGTCCTAGCTACTTGGAAGGCTGAGGCAGGAAGATCATCGAGTCCAGGAGTTGGAGGCCAGTTTGGGCAACATAGCAAGACCCTGTCTAAAAAAAAGTGTGTGTATGTATGTGTGTGTATGCTGATCTTACATTTTTTTGTGGTTTGAAGCCTGTGTAAAGGCTTAATATCATGATATCTTGATTCTCCTTCAGATGTAAACTAGAATTTGCATCATTTCTGGGGTAGAAATGAGCTGCTTCCAAAAGGCAAGCTGGACTTTTGAGCTAAGGTACTAGAGCATTTCTTATGGCAACTCATCGAGCTATGTGAAGCCCTCTCACTTCTGGCTTCCTGGCCTGTCCCAGGGCTAAGCTTTTTGTAGAGCCAGGAGTCCCACTGTTTCTTTCCTTGGTCCTTGGTGGCTGCTTCTCCCTTCCTAGGGTCAGCTAGGCTAGCAGCGGTCGGGGATGTGTTCAAGGGCCGGGGCTCAAGTTTCAGCAGAGAGCCTGGTGGTCGCTCTGTGTGGTAGGCAGGGCAGTTTTATCTTGTTTTACTAGAGAGAATGGGTAAGACAGCTTGCAAGTAGCAGAACTGGGCTCGAACCCTTGGCATTCTCCTTTCATGTATGCTGAAGCTATGAGGCTTCACAGGGGTTCATGATGCTCCACCTCCTCCTGCTGTCTCCTGGGAACTCCGGCCTGAAGTATGCGGAGCTGCCCTGCAGGTGCCAGTAAATTCAGGCAGTGCCCAGGCCCATTTTAAATACAAATCGCTGTAACTTGTTAAGTAATTATTCTGCGGTCAGCTCTTTACATGCTGTAAATGCAGCTCACCTCACAGGCATTTTTCTCATAACACTCTGAGGTAGGTTGTGGGGTTTCGTTTTGTTTTGTTTCTTTTACCAATGACAAACAATTATCTAATTCTTTGGCAGCAACTGAGTGTCCTGTAATTCAATTCAGTTCTGACAGTAACTCCTGCAGTTAGTGTCAGAACCCACAGATTTAGGGGTCAGCCCCACAAGACTGCTCCCACTTTAAGTGCCAAATGAGGCGCCCGGCTACCCACACTTCTGCAAATTCTGACTACACATTTAAGGATTCCCACGACCTTTCCTCAGGTTTGATAACTTGCTAGAAAAACTCACAGAGCTCAGGAAAGTGCTTTTCTTATGGTTACCAATTTATTATAAAGGATACCACTCGGGAATAGCCAAAGGGAAGAAATGCATATGGGGGAGGGCTCAGGGCTTCCATGCCCTCTGGGTGTGCCACCTGCCGGCACCTTGATGTGCTCACCAACCCTGGACTTCAGACCCCGTGGCTTCTGGGCTTTTATGGAGGTGTCCTTATGTAGGCATGATCAATTAAATCACTGGCCGTGGGTGATTGAACACAATCTCTAGCTCTTCTCCCCTGCCTGGAGGTTTGGGCAGGGGGCTGAAAGTTCTAGTCTTCTAATTATATGCTTGATCTTTCCAGCTCCATCCTGACACTATCTAGGATGCCCCCTGCCCCATAAGTCATCTCAGTAGCACATAAAAGACAGTAAATTCTGAGGATTTTAGGAGGTCTGTGTCAGGAATGGGGGGACAAAGCAAATATTGATTTTATTATACTGCATAGGCATAATTATCTTGCTCATTTATGGAGAGGGATGTTGAAGGTCAGAGAAGTTAAGTGACTTGTCTGAGGTTGTTTAGCCAGTGTATGTCAGACTTTTCACTGGACCTCCAAGTCTCCCTCCGAGGTCAGCGCTATTCACCACCGAGTGGTGCCGCCTTCTGCTGGAATATCCTTCCTTGCCTATGGAACAAACACTGTGAAACAGAGACACTGGGGAGTGGCATAGTAGGGGGTTAGGGTGATGCTTACATTTATTTTTATTTGGCTTTAGGTCAAGAACTTTACTGATGTCCACCCTGACTATGGGAAACGCATCCAGACCCTTTTGGACAAATACAACAAGGAGAAGCCCAAGGTGAGCCCGGAGCAGCCTGGCCATGACAGAGGACGTGTGTGCTGGGTTAGATTAGGCATGGTTTGCTTTCCGTTTAGCATTGTTCTCTTCGGGTGCCATTACCTGCAACTATTAGATTTCTTAAGCAGCTGTTTAGAAACTCTTGAGATATAAAGAATTCACCTGCAAAACACAGCACCCTTCATTTTAGCTCTGGACAATATAAGACAGTTTAAAGTGAATGAATTCAGAGTTATTATTTTCATTTGAGTACAAATTAAAACTAAGAAAATATCCAAGTTGCTGCTGCCTGTGGGTTAATTAACCTCTCTGTCTTGTTCTCTCAAAACAGAATGCGATTCACACCTTTGTGCAGTCTGGGTCTCACCTGTCTGCAAGGGAGAAAGCTAATCTGTGAAGCCAAAGGGCCCCAGTGCTGGCCGAGGAGCTCTGTGCCTGTGAAGCAAAGCTTAGTGTTCACACGTGTAACCCACTCATCCCTGGAAAGAAGATTCTCTGTGCTAGATGTGCAAATGCAAGCTAATGCCTTTCAAGTGATAATCCAGGTTTCTATAGCAAATAATGCAATGACTTTTAATGCTATTTCCCTAGGGGAAAATGAAGGTTAGGGCTTTAACAATCATTTAAAAAAACATGTATTTTTGACAGTTAGATTATTCATTTAAAATGACTAGGAGTAAAGTTAAAGTATCATTTTATTTGATAAGAAAAAAATCTTGGTGAGATTAGTATGTTTATATATCACCTTATGGCCTATTATATAAAAATAGGGCCTTAATTATACAAGAAGAAAAGATAATGATGATCCACTCAGAATTTTTATTTTTCTAAGGTTCTTACAGGAAAAACACATTTAATGCATCAGTGTCTTCAGGAAATAACTTTAGCACCATCATGGCTTACTGTTTATTTCTGTTTGTAATTCATCAGGTTCAGTTTTTTTTCACTTGGAATTACATTTACGCAAATTCAGCATTGATTCTGCAACAGACTGATTTGTAATTACATATTACATTTTTACAATAAAGTAATCTGTATGTAAGAATAGAAATGGTATTTGATTTTTTTTGACTCCATATATAGAAAAGTACCATCGAACTCTGAATTTGAACATCCTCTGTTTTCAGATGCTTACCCTTAATGAAAATACCAATATCACGAGGTTACTATGTTATGTGTTTTAATCAATAGTGTTTGGATAGCCTTTTGAGACACTGAGAAAATAGCAAATGTCTTAACTTTGAAAATTACATAAATCTCTTGCCTATTAGCTCATTTACTTAGGATTATGAGTTGTTAAAATAAGAGCTCAGAACCATTAGTTATTTTCTTCTTTTTCTTGGAACCCATATTTGCCTATCATGCTTGAAAATCCCATGGAAGTAATTAAAGGTAAATTCCGAATACTAAATCAAAACCTATTTTTCTTGAAAATCTTTATTCCCTTCATCTTGAAAACCAGTTTGTACTTACTCTCAGGAATTTCTTGAGATATAGGCTTCAGGAAACCATTAGACCATTAGTAGACAGATAACAAACTCTCATCTTTTAGCTCAAACTTCTTTACTTTCCTATCAAACCCTCCTGCCTAAATTCCTTCTGTATTTGAGTATGCTTTGAAACTTACATTTGTAGACAACAGAAAATAGATTTATCCATTTGCACCCAATGGTGAATATTTTCAATGTAGTAACACTTTACTATAGTTATATCTCTTTATAAAAATTAATATAATTTGACAATAAGGAGGGAGATTATTTATTTGAATATTGGTTATACACATAAAGACAGACTTTTTGAAATAGTTTTCTGTTTGTTCTATTTTGTGGTTTAAAAATAAGTTGGTTGAAATCACATGTATCTAACCTGTTTCCTGTATGTAAATATCTGACACATGGAAGTATCCCCAGTTCTGCTCTGGAGACTTCTTATTGTGATTTTCAAAGGCAAATACTATGAGGTTAACTTCCTCCAGTTAGGTCTTACTTCCTGGAAGATACTATCTAATTATGTTCCTCTAAGTGACATTAAGATACATCCTTAGAGTTTCTGAGCCAAATTTATAAGGAGGATAAAATTAGTGAGAGTCAGTATATTAGAGTGGCCTTAGAACCAGGCAGTCCCAGATTGAGACTCAAGCTCTGCCATTTTCTATCTGTGGGAACTTGAGCAAGTTACTTTCTTCCTCTGAGTATTATTAATAGTTCTCTTATCTCTAAATGGGGAGAATAGTTATTGTCCTTATCTCCCTAGGATTAGAAATCTCCTGATCTCTAAATAAGGCAATTAATTTATTATCTTATCTTATCTTACCTTATCGACAGAGCCTTGCTCTGTTGCCCAGGCTAGAATGCCATGGCGTCAGCCTCGCTCACAGCAACCTCAAACTCCCGGGCTCAAGCAATCCTTCTGCCTCAGCCTCCCGAGTAGCTGGGACTACAGGCATGTGCCACCATGCCTGGCTAATTTTTTCTATATATTTTTAGTTGCCCAGCTAATTTCTTTCTATTTTTAGTAGAGACGAGGTCTCACTCTTGCTCAGGCTGGTCTTGAACTCCTGACCTTGAGTGATCCTCCCAGCTCGGCCTCTCGGAGTGCTAGGATTACAGGTGTGAGCCACCACGCCCGGCCAAGGCAATTAATTTATGATAAGAAATGAAACAGGCTGGGCGCGGTGGCTCACGCCTGTAATCCTAGCTCTCTGGGAGGCCGAGGCGGACGGATTGTTTGAGCTCAGGAGTTCGAAACCAGCCTGAGCAAGAGCGAGACCCCGTCTCTACTAAAAATAGAAAGAAATTAATCGGACAACTAAAAATATATAGAAAAAATTAGCCGGGCATGGTGGCACATGTCTGTAATCCCAGCTACTCGGGAGGCTGAGGCAGGAGGCTCACTTGAGCCCGGAAATTTGAGGTTGCTGTGAGCTAGGATGACGCCACAGCACTCTAGCCTGGGCAAAAGAGTGAGACTCTGTCTCAAAAAAAAAAAAGAAATGAAACAAAATCTCACAGAGCAAAAAAAAAAAAAAAGTATGTATACCAAACAAAAATGCATTTGTAGGGCTAGGCTGGCCCATGAACTCCATTTATCTTATGATATTAATATTAAAGGTGGTGAGTAATATAACTCCGTATATTTCTTGCAGCTTTTTAGGCTCTTTAAAAATCTCTAGCCCCCACTTGCTAGGAAATGGAAGGGTCATCAAAGGTTTTACAGGTTGTCAGTGCTTTGCTGACAGGCTACCATGCTGGATTGAACGATACAGAGACAGCTGAACATGTTAAATATTTTATTCACATTGTTTACAAACGATATCCACCTGGAAAACACGAGTCCAAAAATAGATTATTTTACAGTAATTCACATTTTTAAAAACAAATTCCTTTTGAAGTTCAGCTCTAGGTATGGAGGCCTTCAGCCTGTATGGCGGTTCAGTGCCTCATCATGTGACGATTCCTGCAGTGGTGAAACAGAAGTTCTGGGGCAGTCCACCTAGCTGTAGTCACTAATTACTTACACACCAGTGACCGATGAAAAAACGTCAGTGCAGACTTTAACCCGTGAACGTTTATTGGTGTCAATTCACTGTCGCTATTTTTGTCAAGGAAATATGCATTTTAGCAATCTGAGTACACATCAGGTAGGAAGACAAAACAAAAGAGACTCACAATTTCATTGGCTGTTACAGAGTTGTTGGGACATTGCCAGTTCTATAAAGGTTTAACATCTTGACCACAGATGGAATCAATGAATTACAATTTTATCGTGTTGACAGTTTGAATCATAGAAACAGCAGTGATTTGGAAATTGATACATATGTCTGTTGACTAACTCTTTGCATATCTGATGCCAACCATCAGTTAGGAGAAGAGGGGAAGTAGACTCAGTGACAATTAATAGTGTGGCTGACTTTACGTGTTTAGTTCCAGAAGGATGGCCATGGGGGGAGTTTTGCTAAATGGTCAAAAAGATGCTCTGGTTAAGAAACTTACTATTAACCTGTAATAAATCCAATTATATCCTAGCTTGATGGCTTAGCTCTTTTATTAAGAAACTTTTCTATGGAATTTTTGACTTTAATGATTTAAAATCTAAAGTATATATGTCTTACATCTCACCCTCTTCTACTTACAAACTACAAAACTAATCACGTTTTTTTCCTCCCCTTTGTGAGCTGCCATAGTTAACCGTTTGAAAACTTTTGAGCCTTTGGAATAGAAGTATTCGATGTGTCTCTAATGGCAGAATTGAGTCGGTGTTCTCTGATCAGCACCAATGGCATTGGCTATTGTGGTTCTGCAACTCTTGGTTAGGGAAATAATGTTTGATCAAGGTCCCATAAAGCATCATCCCCTCCTCCCCTTAGGGGCGAAAAAGGATTTCTTAAGGGTTGCTTCCGCCACCCCAAGTAGATAACAACTCTGAATCCAAACGGAAGCTGAGATGTGGAGAAATGTTATCAGCATGTTTGCCGGTTTTTTTTAAAAAAGACTTTCAGATGTCTATTGCAATCTGATTGTTTTAAAAGACAGAAATCCATGAAATGAGCTTGATGCCTGGAGTCGATCATAGCTTGTCTTCCTGCCACCCATGTGCATTTTTTCCAAATTTGTACACTAACCTTCGGTCAACCCGTTCCAAAATTCCCGTTTTATAGTAGTATCTGTGAAGGCAAGCAGAAGAGGGAGGGTTTGCGCCTCAGGAAAACAACAGAAAGTAAACACTCCTCATTCCTCTCAGGTGACAAGGCTGGTCTTTGGTTACCCTGGTATTTTCAAACCCTGTTATCAACTTACACTTAAACCTTTCCCAGACACCTTGAAGACTGAACCTCCCCATTCTCAGTTCAAAACATGTTTTGTGTGTATGTGACCCAGCCTGGATGCAGGGTGATCCCTGGGGAATACGGCCAAGAATGAAAAGGACAGCGTGTCACTTTGCAAACTGTAATCCCACCTGGAACCAAGAACCAAAGTCTGGTCTCATGACCTTTCGATTATCAAGTAAAAAGCTGCAAAAACAGTGTAATTTTCTATGGCCAGCCATTTTACAAAACTCTTCTTGTAGGCTCACGGCATTTCATGCTATTAACTTACCTCAGGGCTCTGCTCAACTTCTCGTACGTCATTCTGTCATTTTTCTTCCTTTGTCCCCACATCTTTGCCAGGGCTTCTGATTTAACCACCCGAAAAATGCCTTGTTCCCTATCTTCCCATTCCAGAATGCCACAGTTTTCCTCAGGAGACAGAAGCAGGTCTCGCACAAATTCCCACAGGTGAGAACTTTGGAGGCCTTTTGAAAAGGGGGAAAAGATTAGCCACTTAAAATATACGTATCTTTTAACTTTAAGAGAAGAGTTGTATATCTTCTCATTAACCCATGAGAATTGCTGCTTTGTGGGGACATTTCCCATAGTTGTGACTGAATGCTCTACCTGGAATCCTACCAAGATGTGAAATGTCTGTCTTCCATTAAAGCAATTGCAACACGCACACACAGAGACACCAAGTTTATATTGCCGGGCAGTACCGTGGCTCACAGATGTTCTGTGGAACTACGGATTTATTTGTATGGAATGAATGAAATGACAGTCAAATGGTCTTTTTGTTCTTCTTTCTGACAGGCAGTGTGGTTGTACTAAGATCCCATAGCCACAGCTGTCTGTGGACCAATCCTGCAAGTTTTGTTTTTCATGAAAATCTCTTGTTCTATGACATGGGGGTTAGGGCCAGCTCTGGTGACCCACTGGTTGGGTTTGGGTCCTGAATTTGCCTCTTCGTACCTCTGTAACCACAATCTCTACAGTTACTTTATCTGCAAAATGGGATAATAAGAGTACCTATCTTATAGGAACGATTTCATGATTTAATACGTATCAAGGGGTTGAACCACGCCTAGCATGTAGTGGTTGTTTTCTACACACAAATTTGTGAACTCGCAGGTTTGACCCTGTGCTGGGTGGATTTTTTAGTGCTGGAAAAGGCTAACGGGATTGCCACTTCCGGGTGTTTCCCTCACTATCCTTCCCTGAATACTTCAGTAAGAGGAAACTGCAATGGACCAGGAAAAATAAACCCTATTCTGAAATACAACGTGGAGTAGACATTTCTTTATTTCCTCACTTTAATTCTTATAATGCCATTTCCAAGTGAAAAGAAATAAATCTGATCTTGATAACTTGTATAAGAGCAATCACTGAATTCTCTACTACCTTCCGTGGAAAATAACGGGTCCCTGTCAAATGTTTCGTTTCAAAGCTTATTAAGGTAGATTATTTTGTCTCAGGAATGGTTTTAAGAAATTAGAAATGGAAAATGGCATCTCTGCACTTACTTGTTCGACTGTGACTGTGACAGTCTTGACTTTTGATGCCACTGGTTTTCAAGCAGTTGGAGTCAGCATCTGAAACACAATAATTTGTAGCGGTGGAAAGGAATATAGAGGCTGCATTCAGACCTCAAATCACAGCAAAATGAGCCCACACTAATTGAATGCCTTTGTGGTAGAAGACACCATGTGAGGCCCTTTGGGGGTGATTAGCAGGTGGGAGGTGCAAAGATGCTGAGGACACGCAGTGTATTCCTTTAAGGGGCATTGTATTCAACACTGGGGACCTACCGTGTGCCAGGTTCTGGGCTTGCTGCTGGGAATACAAGAGTGCACACGCAGACATGGTCCCTGCTCGTGTGGAATTTGCAAATGGGCCAGGTCAAACGCAAGTGACACAAACAAATCCCCCATCATTTTAAGTGTTGGGAAGGAAGCAGGAAATCAGATACTGGGCATAGCACCTACTTTACACAGGGCGGCGGGGAGGGCCTCACGGAGAGGAGACATTTATGCTAAGAGAGAAAGATGAGAAGGAACCAGGGTGAGGGGGTGGAGAAGAGTGCTCCAGGCAGAAGGAACTGCGCGTGCAAAGCCAAACGTGCAGAGTCCGGCGAGGCAGGCGTGCCATGTGCCAGGGGCAGAGTGGGAGGTGAGGATGCCGGGGAGGTGGGCGGCCAGCAGGCCTCGCAGGGCCTTCCTTGCAGGCCGTGGTAAGGACTTGGGATTTCACATCAAGATGTAAAGTGAAGATCCGCATTTTTAGATGATCTCTTTGGCTCCAGAATGGAGAATAGACTGGAAAGGACACAAGTCAAAGCAAAGAGACTAGAGCTTATGAAGAGAGAAGGTAGGGCATTAACTCGATGCTGAGTTAAAGGGTAACTCAAGCTGGACATAACCATCTGAGACACTCGGACAAGCATTGTCCCAAAGTAGTACATGATTAAAAAGAGATGACAGTCCCGGATTGTCCCCTCCCGCCCCACATCCAATCTCTGCCTTCCTTGCCTGCTTCGCTCCAGCCACCCTGGCTTCTGGCTCTTTCTGAACATGCAGGCACATTCCTCCTTGGAGTCTGTGCACCAGCTCTCCCCCGTGTCCGAACGCTCTGCCTTGGGTATCCCTAGGTTCATGCCCTCATCTCGGTCTTCGCTCAAAACCACCTCCCAGCGAGGCCTCCTCCCATTACCCGAGTTGGAATTGCACTTTCTCTCCACACCCACTTCCCTTACCTTGTCATCTTCGAGCATACCGTGTGACATATTTATTTCTGTAGTTCACTGTCTGTGCCCACGAGAGGGCAGGATTTGTGTTTCCAGCTGTGCCCCCCAGCACCTAGCACAGTGTAGTATCACTGAGCAGCCACTATACTAGACTAGGCTAACTGTACCTACTCTACAGTCTAGAATGAAAGAATGGACGTGTTGTCAAGGGACCTCTCTGCTGCCCAAGGTGACCTTCTTCAGTGCCACTGGGTCATGTCACTTGCTGGCTGAACATCCTGCAGGGGTTCCCTCTCGTCTCCAGGATGAGGGCTGCCACGTTGGTTAGGCCTTTCACAAACTGATCCCCAACCAGGTCTCCAGCCATATCTCTTTCTACTCCCTAACTTCTTCCCTTCTCTTGGGTCAGATGGTTCCACTGGGGCTTGGCATTCTCCTGCCTCAGGACCTTTGCACAGGCTCCCTGCCCCGCTTCTACCCAGCGGACTCAGGAAGCCTTCTCTGACTCACCCTCTGGGTTAGAGCCCTCTGAGCTCCACAGATCGCACCTGTGTGTTTCCTGGTATCACAGCACTGGTGCCTCTCCGCTGTAAAGATCCATTTTGTCTCTTTCCCTCCTCTACTAACAGCTGATATTTATGGAGTCCTCACTAAATACTAGGTGCTTCATATACTCTATCTCATTTAATCCTTACAACAACCCCTTGTGATATTATTGCAATTTTTATTTTATTGAGGAGGAATTTGAAGTCCAGAGAGTTTAGGAATTTTATCCAGATGGTGGAGCCAGGACTTGAACCCAGAGTGTGTCTGTTGTAAAGCTAATGTTCACAACTACTACTTTGCTATGTCTTTCATAGTAGGTGTTCAATAGACATTTAATGAATAATTATTATTAAAATTTGTCGAGCATTTGCTATGGCCAGACACTCGCTCCGTGTCACCCACTCTTACGGTGGACATCTACTATTATCCCAGACCTGTCTGTTGTTTTGATTTAATCTTTTAGGAAGAGAGAAAGCAAATGGATTCATAGAGACAGAGGTGAATTATTAACTCTGAATAGGCAATAAGCTTTCACTGAAATGCCAAAATGGCAGGGAATGGGAGGAAAAAAGTTGCCCTTTTAATTTCTGATTTCTGTCCTGTGTTTTGGAGGAAGGGTATCCGGCTGGACAGGAGGGACAGAGCACAGGGCGGCATGAGCCGGGGTAACAGGGATGGCGGGAGTTACTCCTGGGTCTTGCCGGAGACAATGCTGTTCCGTCTGCTCCTCGTTCTGCAGCGGTGGCTTTGAAGGTACTCATGGGCTGACTAGACACGAGGCCTCTCTCGGCTGGTGGGGGTGGCGGTAGGGCGGGGGTGGGCGCAGAGGGGCGGCAGTTGTTGCTGCGGTGTCAATATGGAGGCCGGTTCCCAGATCAAAGCTCCACCAAGACCGGCTGGTGGGGCTTTAGCAGCACCATGTTCCCACTCAATTTCTCTACAAATGCCAGTGGTGTCTTGGGGTGCAGCCCTCCCTGGATCACAACCGTCGTCGTCTTGAGTGTGTCCCTGCAGCTGGGCTGTGCCTGGTGTGGGGTGTGGGGACCGGCATGGCCTGGGCTTGTTGCTGTCTGTGGGATTTGGAGAGGTTTGGTTGGCCTTGAGATGGGAAACTTTAAAAATGTGGCCAAAGGAAATATTCAGTTGTCCACTAAAATCAGAGCCAACAGTCTTCTAGACGCCGGGATGGAGGCCTGAGTGGCAGGGCTTCCAAAACAAGCTCATCACATCCCCACAACATGTGGGTCCAGCCATGGCACCTGCAGCCCATGCCAGGATGGCACAGGGACGCTCTGGGGCTCAGGAGCAGGGAGGTGCCAGCAGTGAGTCCAGGGCTGTAGGCTTTGTCCTTGGGCTGGATGTACCCCCTGCTGGCGTTTCTACAGCAGAAGGTTGTGGAGCAGGGGGCTGGGGGACAGCAGAGGCAGAGTGGGGAGGGGCTGGGTTGCTTCACTTCGGCCAGCTCTGACGCTTTCATAGCTTCTTGGGCCTGGTCACCTTCCGTGGGTGCTAAGTTAAAAATTATCCTGTTGTCCGAATCATTTTCGAGCTGGGCCCAGACCTAGAGGGGTTCCTGGGCCTTGGATCTCAACTGAGTGGGCAACAGAGAGAATAGAAGGGTCTGGGAGCATGTGTGCACGTGTGTGTTCAATGCACAAGAGCATTGGCTTTGAGAAGATGAGTTCGAATCCCAGCCCTGCATTTACTCATAGGTTCCTACACCTCTGGTCTCCTCAGATGCAAGTGGAGATCACGACACTACCTAATGGGGTCAGGACGAGGATTAAATAAGATAATGTATGCAGGACACTCGGCACAGTACCACACCTGCCACATAGTAAGTGCTTAATAAATGGTAATGATAGCTATGAATTTTCATTGATGACCCAGTGGGAACATTGCTGGAAGCCCCAGGGTGCCCTTTGTCCTCACTGGCCAGGTCTTGGCTCTGGTCGGCACATCAACATTGAAAGGTGGCTGCTCGTTTCTGGGTTGGGGGTGTCTGAGACAATGAAACATCACCTGGGTCATAGGCATGGTGGCCACATGTCCTGGATTTTCTAGAATGGGCTCACCCTGTTGTCCTCATACATACCCTGTGCCCATTGAACTGTCCATTAGGACTTCTGCTGTGGGAAAGCATGGTCGTCAGGGTTGTGGGAGAGCCAGAGACGGGCCTCAGGGGCCAGGGAAAAGGCCATGGTGTCCTGCCCAAGGCAGGTGAGGCTGGACATGGCAGAGCCTGTGGGGCTGGCTTCCGGGTGGACTTTCCAGACTTCCTAACCCTGAGTTCAGGCTCACTCTGGTCTCCGAGTTGGAGCAGACTGAGCAGAGCCCACGCTGGGCAGATCCTATGCCAGCCACCGTCAGTAGACTTGTCTCCTCGAGCGCATGCTCCAGAGATGCCAGCACGGAGTCCTTGTCTCTCCACTTCTCCCTCCATCTTTTCCCTCTCGCCTGGTCTGGGCCACCTCCATCACTCTCCCAGTCGCGGCGGCCTGAGAGAGCACCTTAAAATGTAGATGGCATCTTATCATTTTCTTCTTTCTTTTTTTTCCTGAGACAGAGTCTTGCTCTCTCACCCTGGGTAGCGTGCAGTGGTGTCATCGTAGCTCACTGGAACCTCAAACTCCTGGGCTCAAGCGATCCTCCTGCCTCAGCCTCCCAAGTAGCTGGGACTACAGGCGCTCGCCACCATGCCGGGCTAAGTTTTCTATTTTTAGTAGAGATGGGGTCTCGTTCTTGCTCAGGCTGGTCTCGAACTCCTGACCTCAAGCAGTTCTCCCACCTGGGCCTCCCAGAGTGCTAGGATTACAGGTGTGAGCCACTGCGCCCAGCCCATCTTATCATTTTCATGCTACAACCTTTCATTGGTTTCCCAGCCTGCTCAGAATGAAATCCAAACTCCGCTACCCAAAAAGCTGTGCCTGGTCTGGCCCTGTGGTGCTCTGGGCCTCAGCTCCCGCCTCTCCTCCTGCCAATGCTCTGAGAGTCTGCCAATGCGCCGTCCAGGTGTGGTGGTGGACACCTGAGCTGTACAATACGGCAGCCCCAGCCACCTGTGCCACTGAACGTTTGAAATGTGGCCAGTGCGACCGAGGAGCTGAATTTTAATAATTTAATTTTAATTAATTTAACTGGTCCCATGTGGCTTGTGGCTCCTGTATTGGACAACCTGATGCTAGACCCTCTGGCCTCCTTTGGTTCTTTCTCAAGGACACCAAGAATGTTCCTGCCCCAGGGCCTCTGCACTTGCCATTCTCTCCCTGCAACCTCTTTTTCCTTTCTTTTCCTGGATAACTTCTGCTCATCCTATAGGCCTAATTGAAATATCTCCTTCTCTAAAAAGTCTTCCCTGGACCCCAGTTTAAATACCATCTTTCCTCCGTCACGCGCAAAGCACACTGCACTTTCCCTTTATAAATAGCATCATGATTAGCACTTACCTACTTATTATTTGGATTGTTTGTTTAATGTCTCTCTCCTTCCCTTGCATCAATGAGGGCAAGACTTAAGTTGTGCTCGTTGCTGACACCATAGTGCCTAACTCTGGGCCTGGCACATAGCAGGTGTTCAATAAACGTTTGTTGAATGAATGAATCAATGAACAAATGAAAAGGGAAAGGAAGAAATGCATAAGAGGACCAAAAGGGCTAAGGGCTTCAGATTTAGACACACCTGGGTCATCTGCCACCTTCTAACCATGTCATCTTTAACCTCTAAGCTTCAGTTCCTCCCCCTATAAAAAGGCTATGGTACTAGTACTTGTTTTGTAGGGTTATGGGGAAGATTACCTGAGACGACAGCTGTAAAGATTTTAGCACAGGGCCTGGCTTGTAGCAAGCTGCTATTGTCATCATCATCATCATCACCGCAATGAATCTAACTGTGGCTAGTTCTGTATTCGGGTAACACCTACTTCTAAAGAACTTATGGAGCACACCACCTGTTTCCGGCTCATCCACTTCCTTTTGCCCCCAGGAAGGCAGGTGAGGACACTGACACCTGGAGAAATGATTGGTCAGGTCAAAGTCACCTGCTACTTAGAGAGTAAAGCAAATGCCACGTGGGCTCAAGCCTTTGGACATAGTAATGTCCCCTGGGCCTCAGTGGGCTCATTTCTTCCAGGCCGGGTGGTGAAAGCTGGGATTCGCATCCCCCGGGGCTGCTGTGGGTGGATCAGAGGGGATTCCATCAGCACCGAGAAACTTGTGAGGGCTTTGTTCACGGGTGGGCAGAGCTGCAGTTCACAGACCTGGCAATTCCGGTGCTAAGGCTCCAAAACCAAACCAAAACACAAAAAACACCGAAAAGCTTTTGTCAACCAAGAGCCAAATAACCTGAATCCTCAGTCGATGGTTTGGGACTTTAGTGAGAGAAAAAATAAACCATAAGAAACGGTTCCCCTGTGTCTGCCCCTCTGCTCGCCCCTCTCAGAGGCCTGGGAAGTCACCGTGTGCTCTGCCCTCTCTTTGCAGGTGACTGAGCTGAAGTCCACAGAGGGAAGGGACTTGCCCAGGACCGCGTCTCCTCCTGGCCCCTGGGCCAGGGCCTTTGTGCGGGACTCAATTACTAAAGCAATAATATATACACCATCATCTTTAAAAAATGAAAGCACCCAAGTTCACCTTCCTAAACCTTCTTCACCTGCAAAAGTGAAGCAAGGAGGGTTACTTTTCAGAATCAACAAGGTTATTCGAGATCCTCCATCACCTCATAATTACAAACTTGACCTACTTAGCTCAGATTCTCCTTAAACATTACCAACCACAAGGCTTCTAATAGCAATTATTAGGATTATGACTAACAGGTACTGGTTTTTGTTTTTTTAAGAGACAGGGTCTTACTCTGTCACCCAGGCTGGAGTGCAGGGGCATGATCACAGCTCGCTCTAACCTCGAATTTCTGGGCTCAAGTGATCCTCCCAACTCTGCCTCCCAAGTAGGTGGGACCACAGGCACATGCCACCACACCTGGTTAATTTAAAAAAAAATTATTTTTTGCAGAGATGGGGCCTTGCCATGTTGCCCAGACTGGTCTTGAACTCCTGGCCTCAAACAATCCTCCTGCCTTGGCCTCCCAAAATATTGGGACCACAGGCATGAGCCACTGCACCCTGGTTGTTGGAACATCTGCACTGGTGGCATATGCCAGGTGCTTTGTGTACATTGTTTCTCAAACTCACCCCAACCCTGCAAGGGTCACATGATTGTATAAAGAAGTGGAGTCTTGGGAAGATCAGGACTCCATAGACCCAAGCCGCGGTCCCAAAGTTCCATGCACACACTCTCTCACCACGCTCCTCCCCACTGTCTTCTCCAAGTCTGTGGTGGTTTCAGTCCATCAGCCTTTCAGGATGGTCCTAAAAGAGTGATCGAGCCCATGTGTCCAATGACAGCACTGACATAGCCTTGGTTACTTACAGTCTTTGATGGTGGCCTTGGTCTCTTCAGCATCATTAAAAAAGGAGTAACCTGGGAAAGAAAAAGAAATCCACAAATCTTACCATGTAATCTTGGTTTCCGCTGGCCAGGCCAGGGGAGGTGTTGGAGGGAAGGGGAGTGACTGTCCCCTCTGAGAGGTGTTTCATTTTAGAGGAATCTTGGAGACCATCTGACCCTAAGAGGTGATAATCTTGTTTTTAAAGGTCATTTGGAATGCAAGCCTGGGGCTGGGTCTCCCAGCAGCCCCTGTATGTTTTCTGAGCAGGCAATGGGGTGGGCTCTGACTGGGGGGCCAGGGGGGCTGGGCTCTGAGCTGAGCCGGGCCGCTGACCCTGTGCAGTCTTGGCCAGTCACCCGGTCTCTGGGCTCATTGGTTTTCTCGTTGGCAACATGAGACAAAACACCGGCTAAGCTCCTCTTTGGCTCTAAGAGTCCACAATCTCCGGTGTGGCCTCTAATCCTTTTGGGATTTGAATGCCTGTTACATGCTGGTCAAAGGAGAGAGCTGCAAGAGGGCATAAGAGGCTCTAAGAAGTGCAAAATCCAACATGAACACCGAGCTTAACGAGGATTTGGAAGATGGTGTCCCAGCCTCGGTTCCCTCCTCTGTGGAACGGGATGGTCTGGGGTTGAGTTTGGAGTTTCAGATCATGTTTTCAGGTAGCAGTATAGGCCAAAGGACACCTATTTCCTCTCTTGGTGTCCAACATGAGGACTAAGTTCCTATTTACTAAGGAGGCTGGATCAGGGCACATTTGTGATTGTTTATTTCTGGTGCCATGTTTTCATTGGAGTTGGTCAGCCACGGTGCCTCGGTGACTCTGCCCACAGGGCCAACCAAGGACAGGATCAGGGACTGATGAGGGACTCGTTCCCTTCCTACACCCTGAAAGCCACTCTCTGCCCCCACCCATCCCGCAACCTTGCCTTCCAGTGACCTGAGTCCCCAGGTTCCTGGGCCCTTACATCCTACTGCAATACCCTCTGAGCCAGATGGCGCCTGGCCCAAGAGCCCCCTCAGGCTCCTCTCCATGTCAAAATGGCCTCGTTCTGGGTCCTGTTCTGCCAGAACCCTAATCTATGGGGTAACATAAAGCTTACACTAGGTAATAGCCACTTCACTGTATAATGTGTGGTCCAAACGGAAACACCTTTGAGAATGAAAAGCAGCACGGTGCTAATTATAATTATTCCAGGATAACAGGTGAAAACGTGTCCTGGGCAAATGGGGACAGAGGAAACTTTGGTCACAGTACGCATATCTCCACAATCAATCCACAGTACACAGACCTGCTGAGAAACACTGCAGGAGGGGTTTCAGAATGGAGCAGGGTGGTGGAGTAGACAGTTTTACTGCCCAACATGAAACCCTCTTGGCAGAAAATGCCTGAAATTCCACCACTGGAGGTGGCACTGTGGCTCCAGGGAGTCCTTAGAATAAGAAGAGGCAATTTACAGCATTTAAAAAAACAGGTGGCTTTTAGTTTATTTGTTTTGCGCAGATCCCTGAGGTAATGGGACCAGGGACAGATATTTTTTGATGTGAGAATTGCCAGTCCTTATATGCTGTGCCAGGTAATATTTCACTGAATTCTCCCCAAAAAAGCCCGTGGAGGTGTGTTTCATATCGCATTGGACAGATGAGGCAGTGGAGACTCAGATAGGTTAAGCCACTTGCCAAAGGTCCCATGGCTGGGATGTGTTGGAGCCAGGGTTGGAATGTGGGGCTTTCTCATCTCCAAACCCTTGTTGGTACTGATTTTCTGTGAATCAGCCTCTGGCTGTGTGACCTTGAGGAAGTCACTTAACCGCTCTGGACATCAGTTCCTCTATCTGTGACATTGGGACACAGAATTAGATGTTTTCAAAAAACCTTTCTGGATTGAAACAAAAAAACAAAAAAACAAACCATGTTCATCAACATTCTGCTCCCAAAGGGCATGTTGAAGGGATAATGCTACTGGCGCCACCTTCTGGCCACTTGATGCCTGACTATTAGGAATGTGATGAAATCCCAGTTAGTTGGACTCTGGAAACTAGAAGAGAAAGGGCTTGTTTAATTCTATTCGCCTTCTGCTCAACGAGAGGTAAAGCAGAAACCCCGTTTTGTCCATCCTTTATGGTTTCAAGTCTTTATGAACACACTGCGTTATTTTGTTTTTATCAGCCTTGTTCCTGGGCAGTCCCTGAACGTGTTTTTTAGTTTTTCTTTCTTTTTTTGAAAAATGTACTCAACTTGCTTTCTTGCAACTTGCTCCCTTTAACTAAAATTCTTAATTCTAGCACACTGGAGCTTCCAGTTACTGAGAGGTTTTGGTTAGCAGAGAGTTCTAGATAATGCAATTTTGCTGAGCGAGTCGCATTGTGGGGAAAGACCTCTTGAAGTCGTTTGGTCCCAATCCCAGGCCCCTCCCCTCGAGGCCTGGCCCTCTGGACACTGACCTTGCGTGCGGATGTTCTGGAGGATGAAGTACAGGTACTCCCCGCAGATGCCGGCCGCCTCCACGAACTCCTCCTGCGTCATGCTGCACAGCTGCAGGCCGCTGACGTTGAAGTGGCAGAAGGAGATGCAGTTGGTATCCAGCTTGTACTGATCGCAGCAGAACTGGAGCCACTCCCAGACGTGGCGCTTAGTCCAGTATTCGGGGTGGACTGATGTCCAGTAAGAGTCGCAGGCTGCACCAGAGGAGAGAGAGGTCAGGGGTGACGGTCCCTGGGAGAGCCTTTGGGAGGGCCCCGAAGGAGGCACCTGTTATGGTAACATCCTCATTCTGCATCCAGTGAGTTGAAAGGGCCTCCAGCCCTTGGTGGTCTGCAGGGGCCCAGGTCACCTTCTACTCTGTGGAGAAACCCAGAGGGACTGGCTCCTGCAGAGGGACTGGCTCCTGTGGATGGACTTTGGGGCCCCAGAGGGAATGACGGTGGTGAGAAGTAACCAGACCTAGTGCCGGTGCTTAGAAGACAGGGGATCTAGTGGAGAAGGGAAGAGAAAGGGCCTTCGGTTGTTTGGTTTCAGACAACATGGTATCAAGAGCACAAAATCAGTAGTCTAACAGGCCTGGGTTCAAATCCTGATTTTTTCCACTTGGGCAAGGTCTGTAGGCATTGAAACCTCAGTTTTCTCATCTGTGGAATGGGGATAATATGCTCAACTCACAGGGCTGCTGAGTTTGGGATTAATGTACTCAACAGCCATGTCCCATTGTTCCCAGGAGAAACTGACACAGGGTACAGAAGAGGTGAGGAACCAGGTACTCGGTAAGGCTCTTTGACATAAATAATTCTTGTATTTGCTATGGCATTGGTTCATTCATTCATTCAACAAAAAGAGCTTTAATTTCCTTATTGGTAAAATGGGGATAATTATAGCACCTCTACCATAGGATTGTTCTGCATTGAATGAGTTAATTATATAAAAGTACTTGGAACAGAGCCTGGATGATTTTAATGCTATTGTTAACATTATTGTTGAACATCTACTGCGTGTGAAGCAATAAATTGTGTGTTAAGGATTCATGGTAGATAAGACAGGTTTGGTCCCTGTCCCCCAGGAGGTCATGGATGAGGAGCTTGAGTGTCATGGAATAGTTCCCCAAGATCCCACAGCCAGTGTGTGGCAAAGCTGGGTTTGAACCCCAGCCTGAACATGAAAGCCACTGCTCTTCCCATCCCATCGTCCTGGTCCTCAGAGGGGCAGGGCAGGGCAGAGATGGAACCCAGAAAGAGAGGCAGAGACAGATGCCGATGGAGAGCTGAGAGAATGAGAAGGCTGAGGAGAAAGGTGGGGGGCAGAGAACAGCTAAGCTGACATGGACAGAAAGGGCCATTTGCAAGCTGTCACCCCCACAGCAAACAGCAACGGTGCTATTGCCACTCCCCTTTCAAATGCTGCATTGGCTGCCACTGTCCCCCACAGAGCTATGGTGCTTCTGATCCCAGGCAAAAGGTGGGTCCTCTGCCCTGCCAGGCGCTACTGCTCACTAAGCACCAGCCGAGGCATTCCCCGTCCTTGTCAACGTCATCTCAGGTTTCTCACGTCCTCCCAACAATCCTGTCCAGGAGATGCGATTGGGCTCTTTCACAAGGAGGAAAATGAGGCTCCCGCTGAAACTCAGAGCCCTTCCAGAAATCTCTTTTCCCACTGAGGAGTGGATTGAGGGGCAGTTGAGCCTAAACAAACAGATTTGTTTTAATTTATTTAACAATTTTCACCACAGTTTTATAGGCATGAAGATCAAAGAGTCAACACTGTGCCAGTCTGGTCAAGGCTGGTGTTGTAGCCTCTACACGGCAGAGGAGAAGTGCCAGGGGCCAGTGAGGCCGACGACCCAGTCCCTGCTCTCTGCTCACTGGCTGGAGCCGGCCCACCAGGCCCCCAGGGGTGCTTTGCAGTGGGCAGGGACTCCTGGGAAGACAGGGGGCCATTCCTGAGTCCGATCTGTGCTTTTATCTACTGATTTCTGGCTTGAGTAAACGTAAGGGGCCTTTGGACTTTCCTGGTATTCTGATGAGAGATGTTTATGAGCCTTGAAATTCTTCAGCCGTGGGTCCTGCGCTGGGCCCTGCCCGAGATGGCTATCTGTGTGCTGCAGTCAGAGTTTATTCCCTTTTTTTCTGTCTTTTAAAATTTTTAAAAACTCAAAGACTTCATTGGATAAATGTTACACAACATTCTTTAACATTTAAAACTCTGAGCATACTTAAGATGAGAAACAATTTTTATCATTCAAGTCTACGAAACAAAGGAGGCTTATGCAGATTTGAAATACAGACAAAAGGTAGCATGAAGCAGAGCTTAAATATTAAGCAACTAAAGCAATGAAAGTGAAATAGCAGCGTGGTAGGTCTAAATTTCACATACCACCAAGTTTCATTTTTTAAAAAATGAAAATCTGGTTCGTAACAAAACACCTGTGAGAATTTGTCATGAGAAAAACAATATTTAGATACTCAAAACCTGATCTCGCCAAATTCGTTTGCTCTATATTATTACTTCTTGGTCATTTCCACCACTCTACACAAATAAGGAATTCTAAAGCTTAAGTAAAAATCTTGATTGTACAATCCATGTGTAATTCCACCATGGCTTGGGAGTTATCTGGCTGTTGGAGTGAGCCTGGAAGGTCCTGCTGGTGCTATGTGTGAACAAGACAGACCCAAGGCAAAGCTCTAGGGCCTTACGGCGCAGGACGCCCTTGCACAGTACAGAGTTTGTTTCTTTCCAAGGAAAGGTTTCACCAGGTCCCCATTCCCCTCCCCTTTCCACATCCCCCCTTGGTATTTTCTTTGGCACTTGCAGAGGGCCATATTGTTGTGGGAGCCCAGAGGGCCTCCAGCATTCGGGGAAATGCGGGGTGGGGAGTAGGCCCCGACAGGAGGAAGGTGTTGCTGGCGCTGGCTCCCAGCTCCCCAGCCCTGACGTTGAAGCTCCCCACAGAGCAGCTTTGTGTGCCCCTTGGCCCCTGGCGCGGAGCCAGGCGGTGGTGGCAGCGGCTCTCTCTCACCAGCCAAGTCCTTCCCACAGCCCCATCCCTGAGCTGGGCAGGAAACGGCTGTTCTCAGTGACACCAGGGCACCCAGGGGGCGCCTTTCAGTGGTGGCGTGTTTGCACAGCCCCTTCCTCAGGAGGAGGAGGAGGAGGAGGGCTGCAAACGTGAGGGAGGCCGGCTCATCCGGCTCCCAACCGCCCCTCTCCTGCTCTGCTCCCTCAGGGTGGCATCACGGCCCAGCGTCTCCCCACAGGGGCTTCCCCTGGCCTGGGACGTGGAATCCCGTGTAAGTAATTCCTGCTCATCCTCCGGCCCGCAGCTCACCGGCCTCAGGCACCCTCCGCAGAGGGCAGACGATTCACCCCTTCTCCCCCTAGACCTCGAACCAGGAGCGCCCCGAACCCGGCCTGGCCCACTGTGGGTGCTTAGTGCGTGCAACCCACTGACGGAATGTCAGTTATCATCTCCACTTTACAGGGGAGGAAACCGAGGTTCTGGGCAGTGACGTGGCCCCTGTAAGGCCGCACGGCCAGTCAGGAAGGGAGTTAGGCCCCTGCCAACCCCCCCCTGCCCCCGTCTCTGGACCTGGGTCTCACAGTGGGCCTCACTCTTCTTGGCTGGGGAGGACCCAGGTGGACACACGTCGCAAAGACTGACTGAAACAGGGTTTGGATGCAGGCATTAAAATGATAAACATGATCTAGGTTTGGAACATCAGAAAGAGAGTGGAGGGAGGATGACGACAGCGTTTACAACCCTGGTGAACAACGCGAAGCAGACCCTTTCGCTACTTGGAAGACATGAACTCAGGGCAAAGAAAAGGAGGGGTTTTATACCCACAGAATGGATTATCCTTCAGAGGTTGCACTGTCTGGAAATGTAAAGTGATCTTCCCAAAGCATCTGCCATTCCTAAAACAATCTAAGCTTTCTGGGGAAGCTGAGCGAGGGCCCTTCTGCCTGGCGACCAGCTGTGGCCCGCCCGGGCCTGGGAGGCTTAATCCCAGTGCCCACAGGCCACTATTTAGCATCGGGCTCTGCCAGCTCCTTTGAAGTCTGAAGTGGGTCAGGACACTTGTTTCAGAGCCAGCTGCATTGGGAAGAAGGATTGAGGAGCTAGAGGTAGTTTCCAGCAATTCTGGGAGAATTCTCACATGGTATATATTTAAATCCAGAAGGAGGACTTCATGAGCTTTCAGAGCGGGGCTGGTGCACCCAATGCCCACAGGGTCAGCAGGTGACGCCCATGCCTGGAGGGGCCCCAGGGGGAGGACGGTGGGGCTTGGGAAGTTCGTGCTCAAGCGGTCAGTTGCTGCCTGACTCATTGACCACGGCCAAGTGAAAGGTGGGCCTCGTGTTGCCAGGACCAGATTGTCAATTGAAATCTCCTGATTTCTATTTTTAAGTGTGACAACTTATTTGATTTTTAACAAATTTGGGGAAGCCCAGTCAAAACTCTTCCATGGGCTGGATCACTCCTGGCCGTCACTTCACGATGAAGAATTCCACAGGCTTTTGGTCCGCTATCTTTAAGATTATTGTTTAGAGTGGGCTTCTGAGACTTCTGAGGTTTTTTTTTGGCATTTGTTCATTTTTTAGTTAAATAGTATTTTCTTCAAGTTAAAACTTATCTGAAAAAAGTAGCCCTGATTTGCTGGGAGTGGAGGTGAAGGTGGAGCTCCAAGGGCTCCTTGAAAATTAATGTTCTATTAAAAGGAAGTAAATTACTTGGAACAGGGCCAGGCGTATAGTAAAGGCTCATTAAATCCATCCATTTATATTTGTCAATGTTAGGGCTACCTCCTGGGCTCCCCATGCCACCACTTTGGTTGCATTTCCTAAAACACTTCTAATTTTTTAAAATGTGTATGCAAGCAGCTTTGTTTCTTTCCAGATCTTTGGCTTATTTTCTTCATAAAAAATAAGGAAATTATAGTAGAAACCAAGCTAATTTGTCTTTGTATTGCCAGCATGCGTAAGGTGGCCTAATGCTGTCATCTTTGGTTTAAAAGATGGAGGCACATGTGAGCTGGTATGACTTTTTAAAATTTCTGATCATCAGGACACATACTAGGATCATTCGTCTGAGACTGGGGCAGAGGGGAGGGTAGTGGTGAGGGTGCTGTTTCCCCAGAGTGCACAAGAGCAGGTTATCGAAGTCACATGATATTCATTGTGCATCTTCGGT